AGGCATTGGTTTTCAAGCTTCAAATATGAATGGAATTGTGTATATGGGAGATGATAACACATGTACAACTCAAGGAATTGGAAGCATCATGATTGTGTGATTTAAGAATTGCATTGTGTAAGGTACGTCCCAAATTTGAAGAAAAAATTGATCTCACTAGGCACTCTCGAGTCACAAGGCTACAAGTTTACTCTGATAACAATGTGCTCAAAGTTGCTAAAGGAGCACTTGTCATAATGAAAGGGTCTCGAAATGGCTTACTTTATATGCTACAAGGAAAGACTTTGGAAAATGAAGTGGCTATGGTAGTTGATGAAGTGCAAAGTGATAAAAATGACTTGTCTGTATTATGGCACATGAGGTTGGAACATGTTGGAGAAAAAGCATTGCTAGGATTGATCAAGCAAGGGTGTTTAAAATGAGCAAAAACTGGAAAGATAGAGTTCTGTGAGCACTGTGTTCTTGGCAAACAAACAAAGGTGAAATTTGGCTCATCTATTAATCAAACGAAAGAGATTTTGGACCATGTTCACTCTGATGTTTGAGGGCCTGCAAAGAATGCCTCTTTAGGTGAAAAAAGATGGTTTGTATCTTTTATTGATGACTACTCACGGACTCGAAAAAGTTGTTGTAATCTAATTCAAGAACCGTGCCCAATTAACTCAATTAGTTTACTCTCAGTTCCCAGTTTGTCTGTCATTCGCTATAGGATTGTGACTGGACAACAACAAAAGTAGTTATCTACTTTATCAAGTTGACGAACACCAATATTCTTAACAGAATTACATCTTATTTAATTATCATTCGGTTTTTAACTGAAAGGAATCTATAAATTATTCGGTTTTTAACTAAAGGGAACCTTTGAAATTTGTTATTTCTTGTGAATATATATTAAGCAACTCCCCACCTAACCTTCAATAGATACTATCAACTCAACTATCCAATCTTTATAAGTTTTAAGTGTTGAGTATTTTTTTTAATACAAGTGACAGTGGAAGACATAAATGAACTTAAGAGTCTCAAGGGCAGAAATAATTGTTCTTAACCCCACTTGAGCTTAAGCCCGTTGTAAACGAGTTCAAATTTTATGCACCCAAAACTTTATGTGGCTTCTCTGTAATGTATATTTCTTGACATTTGGCCAATCATTTAAATCTCACTGAGCAGTGTTAACTCTTCAACTTATCTTCTCAGTAAAAAAACTAAAAGATAAAGATAAAGTAAGTCAAATAACACATATCACTCAAGTAGATAAAGTATAAAGATGCCACAAAGAGTTTTAGACGAACAAGATTTGAACTCTGTTGCAAACCTACAAAAAGAGTGAAGAAGAAAGGGTATCATCCTAGAAAAGTCCCAAGGCAATTTAACGAGATATTTAATTGACGTTTTGTACTTTTTTAATACAAAGAGAAATTAGGGTGAAAGTAATCGAACAAGACGTTGAGATGTTAACTCGACAATGAAATATTTGACTCAATATTTCTCCATTTGATAAAAAAAAAAATTAATGAAAATGGTTTGAAAATTTTGAGTTTTAACGATAAAGACAAAATAAATGGTAAAGTGAATAGTAACATAATTGACTGTTTAATGTTAAAATACGATTTTTCGTTAAAGTAAAAAGTACGGAGAGTTTTTCGTTAAAGTTTCTATAAAAAAATCCATAACAATTTTCACCGTGAATCGAATCACGACCGTTAATCATACATTCTAGGATTCCCCACCAAGCATGCACATCTTGTCAAGTATTTATTTTACCTTGAAACAAATTAATAATTGGCCATGCACCAGTCCAAAGGAGCTCGACTCATCCAATTGCCGAAAACTGAGGGTGGATAGATGGTGCATTAAAGTCATGGTCCCAAATGAACAAAAAAGGATGATGTATACTATTGGAGATGAAGGATTAAAACGAAATAGGTGCCCAAAACTAATTGAACATGACCACATGCTGCATTATATGCATTGTAGGGATGACACGAACCCCACGACGGACACATGGCGCAATTAACATGTTTCAGAATTTGCCATTATTCGTAAGGTGTAAAATAAAAAGTTTGCAACTCAGCTGGTTAATAACGTTTACTTTTGCAGTTGTGTTCAATTTTCTAGTTTTTCAATGAGTGAAGAAGGTAGTATATATGGAGTCAGTCAGTGTATGTTGAACTCTTGTAAATATGTAATAACCAGAAATTAAAGAATAAAACATTGAAAATAATAAAAATACATATGCATTCAGCGATATGATCGGAACATTGAGTATTTCAATACAGAAAAGGAATTTAAAACCAAGAAGAATCAAACTGAAATTTGACAGGCAACAATAATCATATCATATTCAGGATTTGGTACACTTAAACAACGAACCACAAGTATGATATAAACTATAAAGTACAACTGGAATTGTACGATATTACGGCGGTATATACGAACATAATCAAGTTGGTTAAGGTTATGAGTCTCTTTCTCAAAAGAAAAGTTCAAATTTGCCTCATTATTTGAATTAGATCAGAAGGTCACTTAAATTAGAAAAAAAATTGTACAACAATAGGGATGCTAATGTAACTCTTACCTATGCACCCGAGTTCAAATATATATATATATATATATATATATATATATATATATATATATATATATATATATATATATATATATATATATATATATATATAGAAGACTTGTTTCCACTTTGACGTATAAGCAACACTTGTATAGTTTGAGCCAAACAGTGCGATTGGTTGTCAGTTCGGGACACAAAGCATTGTCCCAGGAGAAGTCGAAGATTCAGATGATTGTTTTTCATGTCATGATGGCCCGTAAACGAAGACATTACACAACCCGAAAGCATAAAAGTTGATACGAGGTCAAAACATAATAGTGCAATATTAGAAACCTGAAACTACCTGATCCATTTTTTAAAAGAAATTTTAACGAAAAACTTCCGATACTATTCATTTTAACGAAAAACTACATTTTTACATTAAAATGTCAATCATGGTACTATTCACTTTACCTTTTATTTTGTCCTTATCGTTAAAACTCAAAATTTTCAAACCATTTTAATTAGTTTTCCTTTTTTTTGAAATCACTTCAAACCTTGAGGTATGGATAATTCTTATTTTGTTTAGATACAAGCAATATTAGAGCAAAGGAAAATCGAATACATCAAAGTACAACACTAATTCTAAGTTCTTTGGAAGTGAAAATTTCAAGCACGTAATATTGCATGTCTCGCCTTATTCAGCATAATGTGGTAAGACATCGATTTATAAATTAAATGTGAAGCAACATTATCACCAAAGTTGAAGTTGGAGGAAGGTCGTTGTTATTTTTAATCATCTTCATAGTCATCACGAGATTTTATTGAACGAAGAAAATATGACAGACTCGTACGGAATTACAAATAATTTCAGAGAAATGCATGGACATGCAGAAATTGATTAGGGTTTTTAATTTTCAAACCAAATTCAATTCCCCAGCTCAACAACATTTGCATGCTTTCACGATCAGAGGATGTACGATTGCGACTTCATACCAGCACCAAAACCCTACCATGCATCATCACTTACCATCGACCTCACACAGCCCTCCACAAAAATATCACCATCTCTTTTAAAGCTGATTTAAAAACTTAGGAAATATTTCAAGGCATAAGATTAAATGACTTTTTTTTTTTTATATATTCAAAATGGTATATGAGATTGACATAACTTCTCATTTTGGTGCTTGAAATTTAAAATCGATAAAAGTGATCTTTGAAATTGTTCACCGTCAATTATTTTGGTCTTTTTGTGAGAAATCTCCATTGAATGGAAAATATTTTTGTCATATCAACCTCATCCCTTGATTGAGGAGCCACTTCAGTTGATTTTAAATCTTAGAGACTAAAGTGAGGATTTGTGTTAATCTCAATGACCATTTTGGCGTAAAAGCCAATTAAATCATATGTATCACAATCAAATGGTTATCCAAAAATCAAGCACCACTCATTAGTTGGATTAATGAAGTTGAATAATTTTTTGATGTTTTTTCCCTACCGATAGGAGCCCCCTAAAACCCCACTACCCATCTAATCTAATAGATGTTTACTTGCCACAAAATAAAGGGAAACCCTACCATAAGCTAATTGGACATGACACGGATGGCAACAATGCCACGCCACATTGCCATGAGAAAGGGGAGAGAGTAAAAAACAAGATGTGAATATTGTAACTAATAGTATCACAAATTGGTCACTTATTGTTCCATGAAAAAGTTGAAGCACACAGTAAATTGCGCCTCATATAACACTGCTCAACATAAAAATGAACAACCGGCTTAGGATTACAGTACATGGGCTTCCCATTTTAAGTGAGTTCCTACCAAACAAGAGCCTTCGATGAGGCTGTCTTATGTTATGGCAAAATGTGTGTTATCCTCACATCATTTTTTACTTTTTACATTCTTTATTAATTTCTATCATTTGAAATTTTTTAATTCAGTCGATCTGACGATCGCAAATAAAAGGATGTGTACAGAATAAAAACAATGAATAGCACACCTCTTGTGGCAACTCGCTCACAATCGATGAGATCTAATTGCACGAATCTCACTGAATTATAAGCGAGCGAGAAAGAGCATCGTAGCCTCATGATCGCAAACTGCGAAAGATCTACTCCTTGGCTAGTCTCTTACTAATTTCTTTCCATTTGTAAATCATATTAAATATGAAAAACTAATGAAAATGATTTGAAAACTTTGAATTTAATGATAATGACAAAATAAAAGGTAAAATGAATAGTACCATGTTTGACCTTTTAATGTAAAAATATGGTTTTTCGTTAAAATGAACAGTACCGTGAACTTTTCGTTAAAACTTTCTATTAAATATTCTAGATTAAGGGATTTATAATCATTCAAAGAAATAACCTAGTTAAAATTAAATTGAATATAAAAATTGGTATTACAGAATGCACACACATGCAAACACAGGGAATTGCTCATACAGATCCAGTATGATCCTAATTTCGTTAAATATTACATAAAATTATCCACCAAACTCATTACGAAAAATACTTCAATTCCCATAAAGTCACCTCTAAAATATATAAGATCAACAAAATATCATTAGATAATTTAAACTAAGATTATTACATGTATAATCATCTCTCTCCCCATCTGATCTGGGTCAGCTTCGCCTCTCCAGAACACAAGACTTCATACAACAAACACATAAACAAACCCATTAATTTCTTCATTTAATATTTATTTGTCGTTACTCGAAAGTCTTCAGAGTGGTTATGTATTTATACTATACTATTTTGGCTGACTATTTTCTTCGTGTGTATGTGGGCCGGGTTTAACCCGGTCGGGTCGGTCTGCTATTCAGCATCTCCAGTCGAGTCGGACCTCACCGGGCCCGATAACGTGCTGACTGGGCTTGCGAAAAGACACGATCTGGCTGCTCGCCATAAACGCCGTCACCCGCTCCGACACCCGAATGTCGTCCATCTTCAGCTCCTGCAGCCGCCGAACGTACTCTGGCACGTGCAGTAGGTCCCACACGACAGCGACCCCACCGGGCTTCAGAACCCTCACCATCTCGCCGATCACCCTCATCCGCTCCGCCGACGCCTCCACTGTCCTATGGCCGTACTCCTTGCCGACGGTGTGGATGAACACGGCGGAGACCACGACGTCGAAGTACCCGTCCCCGAACGGCAATCTACTGGGGTCGCCCTCACGGCAAGTCACGTACTCCCCCACACCTTCAATCTTCGCCGTTCGCAGCGTCGACGAGAGGCTCGTCATCTTGGACCGGTCCAGTCCCACGACCCGACCCGAACTCCCCTCCTTCTTCATCTGGGTCGCCACCGCGTTCAAAAGTATGCCGCGGCCGCATCCGAGGTCGAGGGCGTGCTTGACGGTTGACCAGTCGTTGACGGAGCTGACCATGCGCTGCACGACGTCATAGTGGAGGGGGAGTGAGGAGTATAGGAAGTGTCCGGATGCGAAGAAGAGGCAGAGGGCGGAGAGGGCGGTGACGGAGCCGGTGAAGCCGGCGGCGAAGCGGGCGGAGTCGATGGGGAGGAGGCGGTGGAAGAAGAGGGTGATGGGGTGGAAGTAAGTGAGGTAGAGGAGAGACATAATGGTAAATAGGACAGCGTTGAAGAATAGGAAAATAATGGTCTGCCACTGCTCGAGACCGTAGATTGCGTAGATCTGAGTCCAGTCTCTGCTGCCTGGCGCCGCACCTGATGATTTCCCCATCTTCCTCTCTCTGAACATGCTTCCAGAAGGCATCAAATCTCTGAGAACTTCAAACACTACAGAAATGGCAGCAGCAACTTTCCCAGCGTTTGGCTACTGAGAAAGTAGCAGATCACAGAAAGGGGGAAAAAAAACCCAGTAGAGCTTATTCGATCTGGAGCCGAGTAGGGTCAAGTATCGAAAGTTTTGCTGCTTCTTCTTCTTCTTCTTAGAAACCAACAATGGTGGCGAGCTGTAAGACCTTCTCAAAAGGATCTGATGCGCAAAGAGATTTTGCGACGATCCCAACAGTAGCGATGGTGAACAAATAATCGGCAGTGGGTGATGGCGTCATTCGTCGCAAGCAATCGGGGGGAGTGATATCGGGGAAGTTGGAGAAAGAACAAAGAGGAATATAAATGGAGGATGATGATGAGGGTGTAAGTTGTAACGCGCTTTTGCTTTCGTCGGCTTCTGCTGCTCTGTGTCTGTATTTTTCAAAATTTAAAAGAAAGGGAAAAAAAAAGGAAGAGAGAAGAAAATGCTTCACTGAAAATTCTTAACTCTGGTTCTATAGAATTGAGTGGGTGCTGGTGTGAACTTGTATTACGGATGTAGAGAGAGAGAGAGAGAGAGAGAGAGAGAGAGAGAGTGGGGAGGCGTTTGATTACTTTGGGGAGATTATGAAAGTGGGAAAAAGTAGATATAGGATCATTTGTTGCCGGCAAACCGGCTTAGCAGGTTACTTGAGGATCTTTCACTTTTAGTGATGTTTCTATCTTGTGCTTACAAAACAAAACAACATTGTAATTTTAACTTTTAAACTTTAAAAGGGACTTGCGGGTAGCTTGGTCACGACAATTTACCGTTTGGAGGTTAGAAAGATTTGTAGAGATATTTTAGTCTTCGTCATGATCACCATCTTGCCATAAAACAAACATTGTAATTGTGTTTACATACCTCATAGAGAGAAATGCTAAAGGGATTTTGGAACTCCTCATGGACTCTTGGTCACGTTATGTTTTTAGTATAATATTGACACGAAAATTAAAGTTAAACAGTGAGACGGCATATAGTTCGTAGAGACTCTCCTTAACATTTCTCCTTTATAGAATAAGCATCTAACCCTTTTTCTAAGAGGAATTAAAAACTTAATTCACAAAAGGAAATACTAATTGATTTCCTAGGATTCAAAACCAATTCCTTATAGTAAAAGGAACCACAAATTACTAAAAAATAAAAATAAAAGACACATACTTTTTAGAAAGCTTCAAATTCAAAACATCTCTTCGCATGTAAACTTCCTATTTCGCATGGAAGGTATTGTAAAATTAACAAAAGGAAACCATTATCGAGTAACTGTTAGCCATTGATGCAATATGAAACATACTTACATAATTCACGCGCACATGAATACCATCTCTAAAACCGTTACCACTGTGTATAGTTAAGTCCGCATTAAAAATTTTAACCCTAGTTACGAGCTCCATTTATCATTTATGAGTTTTATACACGAGAGTCACCACACTCTCTATTTATGAGGCCTCACATATATACCTAGGAAATATACTCTTTGGTGATTGAATCCGGCAACTTGTTTCTTCAAACTCCGGCAACCTAATTGGATTTGTCTCTTTGGTGCAAGTGCAAATTCAATTGACGACGGATTCCGCCAATTAAATTCCTTTCCTTGGACCGTTGAAGCCAAAACCAATGCCTAAAATTTGGCTAGTTGAGATGTAAAAACAATTAGGAGGCAAAGCAAAATTAATTAGTGCCTTGTCCTATTACACAAGAAAAATACTAAGGAGAGTTTTACAAAAGTCGGATTCTTTATGAACTCTTTACCACTTGAGAGATTTTTCAGTGTGATTGTCACACAAAGTGGGGCACATTGTGTTCCTATATAAATGGTGGTTTATGTGTGTTAAAAGGTTAATAACTTACAAATTAAAATTTTCTACCACTTGGATAAAAACACGTGGTGTATCATCCGTATTCTCGTCACAACTAAAAAATTCTCCTACCACCTCACGTTTTTATATAATTCCCAAAAAATAAGTTCATAAAATCTTGTGCTAAAAACATGATGTGATGAAAAATCTAGGAAGAGTCTGACTTTAGAGGAGTATTCTTAACATCTCTTATCACGCAAACAAGAATTTTTCAGCGGTTAAAAGGTTCGACAGCTTTGATTGGTACTACTTAATTACTTAATTAGAATCCGCAAATCATGGGGAAAACCGTACACGTGAGATGGGGGTCACATTGAGATTGATGTAAATTGAAGGCTTTACGGGAGACTTTATTTATTTGAAATTTGACCCAGAACTCCCTTCACCAGCCAGAGAGCCACCACCCACAGGCCACAGCAAACCACCAATACAATATCCCGTTGCCTCCTCTTTCTGTCCCTTCCATGGATAACAGGCCATACCGTAAAGTCTTGGGATATTTTTCTCACTTCTCCATTCGTCATTGCATGGACATAATTGTCACATTGGACCCCTTCCTTTTCTTTATCTTATGGATTGTTTTATTTCCTCTTGTTTTTCTTTTATTGATAATAACGTGATGTTGTGGTATTATTCTACATGTTATAATATATGTTATACAAATTTACACTTGTACATCGTAACCTTGTGTTATTACCTCAGATGCTATAATAAGGGCACCTCACTTGTTATATGAAAGTCATTTTTTGCCTCCATTTAATCTTATTTTTTTTAATATTTAAGAAAATAGTTACAATAAAAACAATGTGTTATAAGACTAGTGGATTGCCATTATCATATAACAGTGTTACAGACATATTAAAAACTTTCGAATTTTGGAAAAACGTTGGCGGTCCTTTATGCATTTTTGTTTGGGTAATACTACACTTACCATATTTTTCATACCACATTTTTATCACCTCTCAAATAAAGATAGGGCCTACCAACACATGATGAAATTTTTTTATTATGACGGAAACACGAGTGGTACACCACATGTTTTTATGTAAGTAGTAGGAAATTTTATTTTTTAAGTTATTAACTTTTTAACACACAAATCTTACCATTTGTATAGTAACACGTGGTGTACTACATTGTATGCCGGTCACATTGAAAAATCTTTCCAACACATGTGAGACTCATCTTTATTAAAGAGGTGGTAGAAATTTGATTTGGGGTTTTCGAAAGTACCACTAATAACATTTCTCAATTAATGTATTAACCTAATTTGAAAGGTGAGCAGCGAGCACTAACTTGTATTTCTATTTGCTATTCCAATTTAAAATTTGCAAAGTTTGGTTGATACAATATGCTCGCCTAGTTGAAACTCAAATTTCAATCTCCTTACATGAATAATAATAGTTTAAAATATCACTTTATAAGACATTTATACTCGTTAAGGGAATTTGGGAAGCAAATTTGTTTAAGCACACTGGTAAATGACACAATTGTCTCTGTCAAAAGATGACACTAAACCACCACGAGATTGCCCAGTGGTTAGAAACGAATTCCAAGTCCGTATTTCACATGACATATCTTGAGTTCGATTCTTGATACTGGTGAATCACACGATGGTGGCTAGCTGAAACATCCTAGTGAGTTTTTTCGGCCTCCAAAATAGTGGACTGTCGTGGTAAAATCACCACTGCCTCTTTTTGAGGAAAAAAAAGATGACACTAGTCTACTCCTACGATTGTCCTTTTCTTCCAAAGATTCAAAGGCAGTCGTAAAGAAGGAGCTTCAAGACATACTTCTTAAAGTCATTGCAATTAGCTGAAAAACAATAGAGAAAAAGAAGAAAGTCGATGTTCTAAAAAAAAAAAAAAAGAAAGTCGGTTGCAAATTAAATAGCATTGGCCCCTCAAAAGGCTGATAACGCGGGAATCACAGAAAGCGACTACGTAAGCATACGTAACGCAGGGTTAAGGAAGGTACGAACTCACTCGGTCACACCGGCTAACGACTTTTGGGGAGTAAGTACGGTATTGTATTAGAAAATTTTGGGCACCGACTTGAAGTGCCACACGTTTTATTCTAAATCAAGATACAATTTAAAACTTTAAATTAGTCTTACTAATTAGGTTGATCTTGATTTGGTTATCCTATTACTATTATTAATCTTATTAGGAAAATTAAGGTTTAAATAAGAGGAAGACATAGTCAATATTTTAGAAATATGTTTTTCTCAAAAAAAAAAATTTAGAAATATGTCTATTTATTTTAAATTAATCGAATGAAAATTCAACAATTAATAAATTATAAGTTTAGAGCTTTAACAACAAGAAGAAAATTAAAAGTTTAGGGCACATATAAGTCAATGAAATTTGTTCTGTATTAAATCATTGAATTTTCATTCAACAATATTGTGAAAAATACAATATATGCACATTCTGTATTAAATCATTGAATTTTCATTCAACAATATTATGAAAAATACAATATGTGCACAAACTTTACGAGTCAAATATATTAATCTTTAAGTTATCTTGTTTCTTATTGAGCCAAATATAGGCTTGGCTCGTTTCTTTCACGAACCAAGTTTCGACGAGCCAAGCAAAAGCTAAACTCGGCACAAGCTTAAGCTGTATTATTAAAACATAAATTGTCTTATTAAAACATGAATTATTTAATGTAGAACAAATATTACAAAATAATTATGGGACGTGAGTGTGCAATCGACAAAATGTAACCACTTGAAAATCCCGCACTCGACTCTTACTAAAATACAAACGGATAAGTGTCCTGTATCTTCTCATCAAACTTGTTATATATTAAAAACATACATAGTTTTTAAAAAAAAAAAAAATTAGCTATAACGATCTCTGAGATTAGCATAATTACTCGCTTTATTTAACAAAAAATTTCACAGAATAACCAAAATGATTGACGGTAGACAAACTCAGGAGCCACATTTATTGATTTCGAATCTCAAAGACCAAAGTGAGAAATTATGCTAATCTCACATATCATTTTGACTAAAACGCCACGAAATAATTTTAGTTGATGAAATGAAGGATGCATGTTGCTTACAACCAGAGAAGCCAACATGCCTGGCACCTTGGAATTATATAAGCTCAACTGCCCAATCCCATGGTTAATGTCCCTTCTAACTGAGAAAATTAATTTGGGAGGGAGCAATAGGTAGGTAGCCTCGTAACAAATCATAATTAAGAGGTCTCCTAATTAACATAACATAAGCAGGTGGCCTAATTAAGTTGAACATGCAGGGAGTAGTACTCAAGTAATAAGAATGGTAATAATCAATGGAGATAACATGCAGGGGACATTCATTACAAATCATGTGCAATTTAATTCTTATTGTTTTTTCTCTTACACGTATGAGTTTCTTTGGTGCCACCTATGTTTCATTTATTTAAGGTTTTTTTATCATAAATAGTTTTTGAAATTGAATCACCACATCAAGATGATCCTTAAAATTGAAAATTGATCAATGTAGACCCTGAAAATAGGTGTTACAAATCAATGTTGTTCTTCTGTCAGAATTGTGTCAAAATTTTTGTTATGTGCTGATGTGGCACATAACTAGATCCCACAAATCTAATTAAATATTAAAATGTAAATTAGAAAATGTTTAAATAAGTTTTTTTTAATAACTAAAAAATTAAAAATAAAAAGAAATTGTCATCTTCTTCCCCTCCCCAAAAACCCAACCCCAACTCCT